CTCGGCGGCGTGCTCGGCGGCGGGGCGGGCGGTCCTGGTGGGCGGCGCGGGTCCTGGAGCACGTCATGTCGGCCAGGTGTCGGCAGAACGACAGACTGGCGCGGGCACGCGGGCCGGCCGGCATTGGATAACGGACGGTGTTGCCCCTCCGCGCGCCGAGGCGACGTGCCCCGTGCCACTACAGACCGGCGCGCCACGCCCCGCCACGCCCCGCCACGCCACGCCCTGCCACGACCAGGACGTCACTGAGGTTGGGCCCCTGCCTGAGAGTCCTGGCCTACCGCCGGCATCGCCTGGCATCGCCGCCGCCGCCGCACTTCGGTCCCGTTAGCGGTTCGCTTGTTTGGGCCTCACCTGCCATGATACCCTCCCCCCCTTCTTCCCCCACCCCTTTCCCCTGTAGCCCGCTGCCTGGGCTCCTGCTCGGCTCAGGCTCGGAGAACTCTCGGCAATCATCGTACAACAAGCAGCCGAGTGAGCCGAGCTCCTGTTCGACCAGTGGCGGCGATATACCTGCCCCCTGCCCCCTCCCTCTCGCGGGTCGGACTGCTCCCTTTAATTTGCCGTAGATCTTTTGTGTCGTTCCCTCTCACAATACCATCCCCTTGATATTTCTGGACTCCTTCTCGAAACCCCCACTTCAACCTGCGGCTAGGCAGCAGCAGCCAGCCCCTTTTCCTTTTCGACATTCAAATCACAACGCGATATGGAAAAGCCATAGACATGTTAGTGCCTGCTGGGCCCCCGGACGTGGGGTGGGCCCAACGGGAGGCTCAGCTCAGTCAGCACAGCCCGCCGACCGAGGTGTCTCCACCGCAAATATTACCCTTCCTGAAAGTACAGTGCATAAAGCAAAATAATCATCCGCCTCATCTCTTTAATGCGCCCCCCTGCGCGGCTGCTGCTGGCAAGGACTGCTGGCCGCTGTGGGCCCAGCCCGGGAGCGATATGGGGCCGGCCCTGCGGCGGGCCATGGGGACCGCACCACGCTGCAGCAGAGAGGAGGAGCTCTGGAAACCCAAGTGTGTACTTGAATGCAGTATCTCCTGCATACCCACATGTATGCAGGAGGTAGTGGGTACTTTGTCAAGTACACACTACAACCTCTATACATTTATGCAGGAGACTTGGTGTGTACTTGACCAAGTACACACTATCTCCTGCATACTTGCCAAGTACACAGGATCTCCTGCATACATGTAAATATGCAGGATTTACTGCATTCAAGTACACACTTGGGTTTCCGGAGAGACCGCGGCTCCTTTTAATCCGCGCAGACCAGGGGGACAGCCGGGCTGTTTTGATAAATTAAGAAACCGAGGAAAGGAATTTGTTGGTAGGGGGAGCTGCTGGAAGAGAAGCAGGATTCAATCGGAGAACTACGCCCGACAAAAAAAAAGAGTAGCGTGTCGTAGTCGCGGAATGAGTGCGATATACTCAGAGGAACAAAAACAGGGTCGAGATAGAAGCGAGAAGAACAAGAGCGAAGTACAGAGGGTGGCGGTGGAGTGGAGGCGATAGAGAAGGCGCGAGAGCGAGAAAGGGAGAGGCGGCGAGCGAGAGAGCGCGAGGGAAATAACCGATCGAACGTTGGGGACAACCCCCGCAGCGACCTCGCTCGTGTAACGTCATTGCAAAAAGGGTTGGCCGCGCCCGCTGCTCTCACCCTCAGAGCTTGCCTGGCCACTCTAGTAGCTGCTAACTCTGCTACTGGCTGGACCACGTCCACACACGTCGCTATTTCATGAATATATACAAACTATGCACGGCATAATTAAGCATGAAATAGTGCGTACCGTAGGGCTGACGAAAGCTCTGCGGGCGTTGTGTACAACAAATTGCATAAGGATTCAGTGCGATGCGTAAAACGATCTAAAATGTTTTGCCCTTTGACTGTCTAGAAAACACGTCCGTTTTTCTCCGATTTTTTCGGCAAATTACGGGAGCTAAGCGCCTGCGAGACTCGAGGTAGGCCACCCCGCAACGCAGGGAGTCATTGTAATGCCTACCCATCAGGCGCTACGAGACCTTCTACAAGTGGCGAACGACATACGTACTTTCCGGACGATCCCTTTCCTTACGTGTAGGTAAGCAGCGGGCGTCCCGGCGCGCCACGTTTGAATTCCAGCGCGCTGGAGGGCCGCGGTGCAAGGGCGCTGGAGAGTGGGGCGTAACGCGGCGCGGGAGGGGGCGCCGTGCCTCGGTGGGGGGCAGCGGCGGTAGCGCCCCGTGAAGAGGTGGACGCCGCGCATCTGCGGGGCCGAGCGCGCCAAGCACTCTCCTCGACCTGCTCGACTCCTGGTGCCCGCCGCGCCTCGCGGGGACACCCCAGCCCAAGCCCTTCCCCTTTCACTTTCGTTTGCCGCGCGTCTCCAACGCTATACGCTTTTCTCTCTCTTTTTCGTTGGCGCTACCCGGTGTACTCCCTCCCTCTTGTCGGTGGAATTCACACTGTTCTGTGCACTACCTGCAAAGAAATGTTCACATTGCAGAGGATTTTGATCCTTAATCGTTAATCATGAAGCATTTACTCTGCAAACTCAAAGCAATGGTTTGCAATCACAAGGCATTTAGCGGTGCTTTGCAGTCACAAAAGCGACGCTGCACAGCGATGGTACAAGGCGATGCTACAAATCGATATGCTACGAAGCGATGACACAAAGAAATTCTTTGCAGCATGTAAAGCATTGCTTCGAAATTGCAAAGCATCGCTTTGTAATTGCCGAGTAGTTGCAGAGGATCAAAATCCCTCGCAATTTCCAAAGCAGTGCTTCGCAGGAATTTAATAGTGCAGCGACAACAACTTTTCTAAGCTTTTGTCTCATCGTGTATCGTGAGCCGTAAATTACTCTTAACGTATGTAGTAGTAAACAGAAAGAACTACAACTGCTACAAAAAGGATTGGCCACCTTTCCCGGGTGGGTTTGCCTATCATTCCTACCGATGGTGTGTGGTGCCTGATGCGCCTAGCCCGTAGAAGATTCTACCCTTACAAAGGAGCCAAATCTTTTGTAATAAGAAAGATCCTTTTTTGGGAACATTGACTAGAGTAAAGCTGCGATGAAGTAGCTCAACATATCGTACCTGTCTATTGGTACCGCGCCTTGTGTACCGCCGCTTTTCCTCTTACAATCAAAACGGGAGGCTGGCGGCTCTGCTTTTATGGTAATGTTGTCACCAGCTGCATGATCTCGACGCCGAACAAACACTGAAAATGCAAGTGTGTGAATGTCGCTCACCTACAGGTGAGCGACATTCCATTCGTACACTTAGGGCGGTAAACGGTAAACGTGTGAATTTTCTAGGAAAAATTCACACCATTACCCCCCTAAGTGTACGAATGGAATGTCGCTCACCTGTAGGTGAGCGACATTCACACACTTGCATTTCCAGTGAAGGACAGAGAAGAGAATGAAGAGGGGAAAACGCGTGTGAGTTCCCCTTGCTACCCACACAGACCATTAAAGGACGAGGGTGAAACAAGCAGGCGTGGCTCGGTCGAGGGTCGTGTCCCCTCGGACACCGGGTAGGACGGGTGGCCCAACTCGCACCTTGACTTGACTTGACTAACCGCGAGGTCACTCACTATTGGGTTGTCTATATAGAGCATGCAGCTGACGTTAACGAACGAGAGGACGATCGGCCCCCATTTCGACACGCGATAACGGCAAAAAGACACTGGAAAAACAAAGGTGCTATCTAATGCCTTTTAAAGGCTTTAGTAAAATAGTGCCTCGAGAAAGGTGCTACTGCCCCCCAAATAAGGTGCTATTTTTGGCACAAATCATGCCTCTACAAAGGCACTAGTGCAGTAGCACCCCTAAAAATTCAACAGCACCCTAAAAAGAGTGCTATATTGTGCTTATAAAGCTTGAAATGGCATTAGACATTTGGTATCATTACGCGTTGAATGTAAGTCGTCGTAGACGATAACACATTTTCTTTCAAATGGAAATTCATCCACATGCACTGGTTAGCGGAACCGCAGTTACGTAAAAGGTCCAAGAGCACAGGATCACGCTAGATTTATCCATGGCGAGACAAAAGGGGGCGGCCCCACTGCTAAGTGGCGTATGAAAGAGTAATAGCAAACCAAGTTCGCAGACGATATGATTGGCGTAGGTCGCGTGGGTAGAAGGGCGAGGTGGGGGGCGGAGCGAGCT